TATTCCAAATTTCGTTTTGGCTTTCGGGATATACCGCGATGTCATTTGCTCGGTATATCCCCACAGGAGAGAGGAGCTGGACCTCTATCTCCATAAAGTGGTGGATTTGGGCATCAATTACGGAGGCTCATATTTTTATGATTATCATAAATCAATATCAGCGAAAGCGGCAACACATCTGAAGCAGTTTAACATAAGAATTAACTGGTGTCAGATGGATACAGAATTATTCTGTCGCCACTTCGCTGGTCTGAGGCCCCCATCTTGTGCTATATGTAATTCTTCAACCCATTTGGCTGATTTGTGCCCTTCTGTGGCTGATCCATCCACCCCCACTCCCACCCCTCACAATAAACAAGATGGTGGTCAACGGGATAAACTGGGTAGACCCATCTCCTTTCTAGGGAAAGCTCAGGTGTGCAACAATTTCAATGCAGGTTCCTGCAGCTTCAGCGCCTGTAGATTGTTGCACATCTGCTCTATCTGCTTTAGGGAACACACGAAGACCATGTTCCCGGCCAGGTTGTCCCCTAACAAATGACTATCCGACATTAATATCGACAACCTGTTTTTTTACTTAAAAACTCATCCGAGCAGACATCTAGTGGAATATTTATCAACAGGGTTCACCCAGGGCTTTCTCACGGGTCTCGTAGCCATCCCCCCCAGGCACGCTGGAATGTCCCAATCTCCTATCAGCCTGTCAAGACCCAGAAGCCACGGACGCTCTCGTTTCCGCTGAAATAGGTTTCATGATCGGCCCCTTCACCTCCTCACCTTTTTCCTCCTGGTGCACTAATCCAATTGGTATAGCTGTGCACAAATACTCGAATAAAAAACGCATGATTATCGATTTATCGGCACCGCACTCTTCTTTTGTTCCCAGCATTAACTCACTCATACCCGCAGACGAATTTTCATTGACAACGCTATACAATCCATCATTTCAACTGGTAGCAACGCTTGGCTTAGCAAAATGGACATAACCAATGCATTCAAATTACTGCCCATGCACCCATCACTTTGGCACTTGCACAGTGTTAAATGGCGAGACAGGTACTATTTTTCCACACGATTCACTTTCGGGTCCAGAAGCAGCCCTAAACTGTTTGATATTTTTGCAGAAACTCTATGCTGGCTGCTTCTGAACATTCTCAGGTGTCACTCCGTCATTCACTATTTGGATGACTTCCTCATAATAGAACCGGGCGCACGCACACACACCCACCGATATCCTCAGCACCTCAGCACTTTTCTCTACTCTCGAGGTACCCTTGTCTCCCTCTAAAACAATTGACTTCACTACTATGGTGGCTTTTGCCTCCTTTTGCCTCTTACATTTAAAACTTTCCCACAATACCATTAAACTATACCTCACGGGGGTGCAGCATCACAGCCTCACAAATTTCCCTAACAACACTCCCTTCTTGTCATCATACCCCATCAAGAAAATCTTAAAGGGCATCTCTAAGGTTTCTGTTCCACTTATCACCACCAGACTACCAATAGATGGGCCTATCTTTAAATTACTCAGCAATCTACTTGACGAATCCCCATTCGATCCCAACACGAACCTGGTGATCAAGTCTGCTATCTATTTAGCTTTTTACAGGTTCCTAAGACCTAGGGAATTTACCGTTGTTTGTCAAGGAGATATCACACACAGCCTCAAAACCTCACAACTCACTAAAGTAGAGGATTACTACATTCTCACGATCCCATCTACCAAAACTAATCATTCACTACACTCCACTATCATCCTCCTCTTTCCAACAGATAATACTTGGTGTCTGGTTAAGGCACTAGACCACCTACGGTCAACTCATAACACTCACTTACCAGACTCTCCGCTCTTACAACTACAAGGGCGCCCACTCACCACAGCTAAATTCACAACGCATGTTAGAATCTTATTGGCAAAACTGGGTTACAACCCGGCTTCGTTCTCTGGGCACTCCTTCCGCATAGGAGCCGCTTCATCAGCCTCTAGTACAAACATCCCGGTCCACATCATCAAGAGTCTGGGTCGATGGAAATCCTCCATATACCATACGTACATACCACGACCCGAAAGAGAGCTTCACCAAGCCTTCAGGAACTTAGTTATGTAATAAATGCAATAAAGTGTGTTTCTTTGAACTTCTCTTTGCCCTCTTTTATTTACAAGCCCACTCGGATGTTGGTTTCGGCACACCACAACCAACTTTGTCCTTACAGATACTATCCATTACATATTAAATTCCGAGCACAAGTAGAAAGGCCATTAGGCCTGAATTTGTGGGAGGAGTAAGTCCCCTACTTAAACTCCCAGCCCCTACTCACCTCTGACGTCCAAGTTCGAGTGTTCCCACCCACCTGCACCCTTAAAACAATACAATTCTCCTTGGTGGGCCCTCTTTTATTTACAGGCCCACTCGGACATTGGTTTTGGCACACCACAACCAACTTTCATCTCAGACACTATCCATTACATATTAAATTCTGAGCACAAATATATATGTATATATATATATATATATATATATATATATATATATATATATATAATTTTGAAACATTTACCTGAACAATATTGTAAATCTGAAACATGTCTTTTCCATTTATAGATGAAAATGACATGGCCTGTAGGTTTACTTAACAAATTATAAAAATAACATTAAATATAGCAACTTCATCTTAATTCCCTGTCAATCATTGTTATAAACTCTGCCCTTTACACCTGGCAGTCGGCATAGAAAAAGCATATGGAGAAGATGAGAAGTGAAATATTGTTCCTATTTCTCCGGTTATTCTGCATTGTTTACCCTGGAATTGCCTTGTCTGAACTAGATTATGATGTAATTACCAAAATAAATAAAATAAATTTAAAAGAAACTGCAAATATAATTTAAAAAGTTAACGCAAGTTATAAGTGATTTGCAACGGTTTATTCAATGGTGTAAATTCATGATTTATTACTGCCAAACTGCTAAAAATGTGCATAAAAAAGCAAAAAAAAAAAAAAGACAAATTAATCCATGGTGTACTAACCACCAAAGCCCTCTCAGTGCTGATTGGTTGCCAAGTAATGCTTCTTAACATCTAACTGTTCAACATAATCTATTAAATAGAAGCCTTAAAGCATCCAGGATGTTTTCTTTAGCCTAATTCTTTAGTCAAACCTCCACAATTCCACTTTAATGAACAAACGAAATACAGAATAGACCTGACACTCCAAAGGATGTTAGGGTATCTTTATTCTCTTCAGAGGTCTAAGCTTAACACATCAAAAGCAGAAAGTTTTGGGGGCGTGGCCTGGAGCTCGAGCAGCATGGACGCACGTCTGTAAAGCTCCCGCAGCACTGAGGACGGAGCACAACTAAACGGACTACAGAGCACGAAATAAAGGTACCCAAAGACCCACAATGTCCCAGAGGCAGAAACAGAAAGCTGCCAAAGAAGAACGAGCGTCCTTTTTTATGGCCAGATCCGCCGCGAAAAAACCGCGGGAAACCGGCGGCCGAGTACAAGATGGCGGCGGAGATTGCTCCCGCGAGGGATCCATATCACCTACAACTTCTATCACCTCCCTGGCAGAGGAGCAGCCCCTTACCACAACCTCAATGAGGCTCATGCTAGCAGAACTAGCTGACAACTTCCAGGCTGCTATGAAGAAACAACTGCACAACCTAGCAACAGAGTTGAGGAAAGATGTTGCAGACATAGGCCAGCGTACAGCCCAAATAGAGCAGAAACTGGATGATTGCACAGATGCCCATAACTACCTGGCTGAAAAAGTGCAGGACTATGAAACACAACTAAATAACCTTAAAACAAAAGTGGCTGACCTGGAAGACCGCTCCCGGAGAAACAACATCTGGATAAGGGGCATCCCTGAAACGATACTGCCGGCGGGCCTGGGTGACTACCTCCAGGACATGTTCCAAGCACTAGCTCCAGCCATCCACCCAGACCAGATGGTAGTAGACAGGGTACATCGCCTAAGACGGCCACAACATATGCCGCCCACCACAGAGAGGGATGTCATCGCACGTGTACATTTTTTCCACGTGAAAGAACAGATCATGAGAGAAAGCAGAACGGCAGGCATGCCGGACCCGTATGGACACATCAAAATTTTTGCCGACTTATCAGCAGAAACACTACAGTTTAGGAAAAGTCTGACCCAGATCACAGCGACCCTGCGAGAGAAGAACATCGCCTACAGGTGGGGATACCCAGCCAAACTACTGATCCACCGCGAGGGGAAAATGCACGTGATACTCAACACTGAAATGGGGCTCCTTAAACTCAAGGACTGGGGCATACAGGTCGCAGAGGAAGTGAAACAACACCGCCCTAAAATCCCCAGAGTACCAAGAGACTGGTCAACCGCCTGAACACCGCAGTCACCTCTTGCCTCCACAAGGCGACAAGCGGTCACAGACCCATGAATATACCACTAGAGACTTAAGATGACAAGCATGTGAGTTTAAAGTAACAAATGTATTCATTCTGTTCCCCCCTTGGTTTGGTTTAGTTTTTTGCACCCACATTACCAAGTACAGGTGCCCAAAGTTACAGGTTCAGGGGTTAGTTCGCAGGACCTCTGGGGCACGGGCGCTATACCCTAGGGCCAACTCATTGGAAGGCCCCTGGATCGAAATCCTAGAAGGCGCCTCTATACTTTTGTTGCAACGCTGTGATCCCACTGCTGCAACCACGGTTGAGTCCCCGGATTACGACCGGGCTCATACACCCACCCCACACTGATTGTGACCGGGATTCTCCCGGCGCATCTTGGCTCCCCGAGACGGAGCCCTTTCAGGCGTATTGCCTGCCTGTTTGTCCCACACCCCCTATGTGTTTCTCACCTTCTACTGTCCCCTATCCCCAGCCCTCACAAAGCATCAAAAGACGCCAACCACCACCCCATAACCATGCCGATTCGAGGACAACCAAACTAAGTGCCATTACAGATATGCCCACGATTAGATTTAGAGACCACCTAGAACACCATTATGAAATTAGTCACCTACAATGTAAAAGGGCTAAACACCCCGGGTAAAAGGAGGCTACTACTGAATGACCTCAAGAAAAACCAGATCGACATAGCATGTATCCAGGAGACACACTTTAGGGACGACCACACCCCGGCAATATACACAAAGGTGTACCCCACCCAGTTCCACTCCCAGGCCGCCACTAAATCAAAGGGAGTAACAGTCCTTATTCACAAAGACGTAGCAATTACCATACACCAAAAGAGTATAGATCCGAAGGGTAGATATATTATATTAGTGGGCCAGTTCAACAGCATCCAACTTACGCTGATAGCCACATACTTCCCCAACGAGCGACAGGGACAATACCTGCGAATGCTGCTTAACAAAATTGACGGGATTAAACAAGGCAATATAATCCTATGCGGGGATTTTAATAGTATCCAATCGCCCACACTAGATACGACAGCCACTCTCACAGGTAACAGTAAAAAGAGAATAGCCGCTACAAGCAAACTAACCACTAAGTTGATAGAAGATTATGACTTATACGATGCATGGAGGGCACTAAACCCAGAGGAGAGGGACTACACCTTCCACTCAAGAGCTCATAACACATACACACGCATAGATGCAATCTTCCTAGATAGGACACTCCTGGCACAACTGAAGAAATGTACAATAGGGGAAATAACATGGTCAGACCATGGACCGGTGTACCTAGAGCTCCTAGACGCCTACCAATTCAAGGGGAGGGGGACGTGGCAACTGAACGACTCACTTTTACTGAACCCAACCTTTGTGCGGGAGAGTAGGGAAGCACTCCAAAACTATTTTACAACAAATGCAGGACAGGGGGTCTCAGATACTACGGTATGGTCAGCACATAAGGCGGTTATGAGAGGGGTATTTATCAGAAGGGCATCCTTCCTGAAACGGCACCACCAAACCACACTCCTAGACTGCCACAAACGAATAGCACTAGTAACCAAACAAAACAAACAACAACCCTCCCCTGCACTGGCAGCACAACTAAAAAAGCTGCACTCGAGACTAAACGAATTAAACGCAGAAAAAACTAAAACCTTACTCTATAGATTAAAAGCCAATGTCTACCACAACGGAGGCAAAGCCAGTAAATACAGCCAGTAAATACTTAGCCAATAGACTGAGAGCCAGATATGCCAACACAAAGATTACTAGAATCACGGGAGCAGACGGCAAAATTCACCGCACGCCAGCGGACATCAGCAAAGAATTTGCTGAATTCTACTCCAAACTATATAATCTACGAACACTAGACACCACACACAGGGCAAGCCCCGAGGACATAGACGAATACTTGAGACAAACCAATCTCCCCCAAATATCTCAAACACAAAAAACAAATCTGACAAAACCCATAGAAATTCAGGAAATCCTGAAGGTAATAGCAGGCCTCCCCAATGGAAAATCCCCAGGGGCAGATGGCCTCACCAATGCCTACTATAAACTCTTTGCCAAGGAACTCGCCCCACACCTACTACGAGTGTATCATGCAGCATCGAACTCAGGAACATTACCACCGGAGATGCTACTGGCCACAATTGTCACACTCCCCAAACCAGGAAAGACACCAGATAAATGCCAAAACTATCGCCCGATCTCACTGCTTAATACGGATGCCAAAATATACGCTAAAATACTAGCCAACAGACTCAAAGACATACTACCCGACCTCATAGGGGATGACCAGACCGGGTTCGTGACTGGTAGACAGGGACTAGATAACACTAGAAAACTGACTTTACTACTAGAGGGCCTACGGAAACATAGGAAAGAAGGACTGTTACTAGCCCTGGACGCGGAAAAAGCGTTTGATCGCCTTAACTGGACCTTCCTAGACAGAACCCTAAGAGCGTACGGACTCCCCCAAACAACGATAAATCAAATATTCGCCCTATACTCCACCCCGGCAGCACAAGTCCTCCAATCAGGATTCAAATCCAACCCCTTTGCCGTCTCTAATGGGACGAGACAAGGTTGCCCACTCTCCCCTCTCCTATATGTGTTGGCACTGGAACCCCTCCTTCGCACCATCAGGGCCCACCCAGAGATTAAGGGTATTACAGTAAAGAATATCGAATACAAACTCAGTGCCTTTGCAGATGACGTCTTACTCTATGTAACACAACCCCAGGATTCATTACCTCACATAATGCAGGCAATAAGAACATATGGTCACCTATCGTACTACTCCCTAAACTCTTCGAAAACACAAGCCATGGGGATTAACCTTCCCTCAACTTTAATTGAATCGCTACGCATTAAATACGATTTTGAATGGAGGAAAGACTATATAACATACCTAGGGCTCCACATCACCAGACAGCACAAAGATTTGATAACGGGGAATTATATTAGAGTCTGGAAGGAGTACAAGTCAACCCTCAAAAAATGGGAGCATCTGTTCCTTACGTGGACAGAAAGAGTGACAGCATTGAAAATGTCCATACTCCCCAGGCTCCAATATATCTTCAGAACGTTGCCCATAAAAATCCCCCAAACATACTTTAAAACAGTCCAAAGAGATGCCAACGCATTCATATGGGAAGGCAAGAAACCACGAGTAGCGAGGAAACTGCTAGCAGCTCCGCAGAGGGCGGGCGGCCTGGCAGTCCCAGACATACGAGCCTATTATCATGCTTCCATATTAGCAGCGGCATTACCACACCTGATAGATCAACCACCCCCACAGTGGGTGACATTGGAAAGACACCTGACGGAACCATACGAACTATCACATGTAATATGGCTCCCCAAACCACTTAGACCACCAATGGTAGACCCCCCTGAGCAGATCAACTTACTCCTACAGGTTTGGGACACACACAGGAACAAACTTAGCTCAAACTCCCAAGTCTCACAAGCCACACCAATACAGGCACTAACATACTGCATACCTACATTCCATGCAACACCATGGCACGATAGAGGCGTCACGACCTTAGCAAAGGCCCACACAGGGAAAAGGCTCACAGACTTCAATACACTACAACAAACATATAACATTCCGAATACTTCGCACTTTTCATACAGACAACTAGCATCATTCCTCCATAACCACAACCCAGATAGCACACAGCAGGACCCAGGCCCACATATACACACCCTTTGGGAAGACATATGCATCAAACGTAGACTCCCAAAGATATACCGACCACTATCATCCTGTTACAAGCAAATTCTACAATACACTCCACTAGCGAAAGCCTCACCGGCAATACAATGGGGGAGGGAGCTGGGCACAGACCTAACCAACCAACAATGGGAAGAGCTAATGACCTCCCCTAGAAAACTGATAAAATCAGCCACACTCATAGAGCAGCACATGAAGATGGTATATAGGTGGTACTTGGTCCCCGAAAAGCTACACAAACTCTACCCATCCAGCTCACCAGAATGCTGGAGATGCACCAAACATATTGGTACCACGGCACACGTCTGGTGGCACTGCCCACTGATACAGCCTTTCTGGAAAGCCGTCCAGAAGGTACTTAAGGAACTCTCACTCGACGAACCACAATACGAACCAAGCACGTACCTCTTGCTTGTGCTCCCCCCCAAGACACCTCCCTATATAAAAAAACTCATATACCATCTCCTACTCACTGCCCAACGCGCAATCGCAAGGGCATGGAAAACTCACGTTACTCCGCCTATAGAATTAGTGCTGGCAGAAATAGACAACCAAAACATTTATGAGAAACGATTCAATACAGTATGCCCCCCAAATGAAATGACACTAGCTACCTGGGAGAGGTGGGAGACGTGGCGACGGGAGCACCCAACATAAAGAATACCTACCACACCCCTCCTGAAACACAAAATAACTGGGAAAGAAAAAAAGGAAGGCTGGGTATATAGATAGATAGAGGATACGGGACCAGACTCAACGAGGTCACAAACATCAAAATCTAACATCAAAATCTAACATCAAAATCTAACATCTACAACCATAAATCCAAAACCAAGAACATATGTACCACATAGACTTACTCGCCCAGAATAAGGCATAGTTGGAAATAAGGATAACTATGTAACGGCTTGATGTAACTCTATATGGAAATGCTTGTGTGATGCTTACCCCTTCCCCCCCCCTCCTTCTCTTCTGTACCCCTCCCCATCACCCGGCCCTCCTTGAACAATATGTGAAAACAATAAAAATTGTCAAATTTTTAAAAAAAAAAAGCAGAAAGTTTTAAAACTTACAAAGGATCGTTTGACAGGAAGTGAATTAGTGCCATCATTTAAGTGAGTGCAACAAACAATAACAGCATAAAATTATCCTACATTGTTACAGGATAAGAACGTTCAGAAATATTGATGTGTGTATGAAAGAAAAAGAAAAAAAATAATACCACGATCACATGACTTGGACCAGCTTGATTGACATGATTGGCTACAGGGGGACTGCCCTATAATTAATTTAAAAAAATATAATTATATATACTACATATATTTTACAGAGTGTGTGTGTGTGTGTGTGTGTATGTGTGTGTGTGTATATGTATATATATATATATATATATATTTATTTCCTGGCTAATCAGGGCAGCAAATACTCATGGGTTAGTTCCTCCCCTTACAGCCGATAGGACAGGAATAAAACAAAACGTTTAAAAGGAGTATCCCTGCATAGGTTCCTCAGTCTTTTTCCTGTCCTACAGCCCTTAGAATGTGAGCATTTCTGCCCCCTTTACTCATGGACATGTAGGTTTTTTCTCTTCGTTACTTTATTTGGTTTTGCTATTTTAGGGTGCCTTTATTCTGTGGTGCCTTTATATTATGGTGTGTTTATACTATGGTAATTTTATACTGTGATTCCTTTAAACTGTGGTGCATTATGCAGCTGTGCCTTATGCTGTAATGCCTTTAAACTGTGATGCATTTAAACTGTAACATCTTTAAACTGTGGTGCATTATGCAGCTGTGCCTTTACTGCCTTATACTGTAATGCCTTTTTTACTAAGATGCCTTTAACTTTGGTTATTTTTTTGCACCTTGTTGCCTTTCTATCACCTTGCAGGCACTTTTACTTTATGATTCCCCTCGGTCCCGGAGATTTATTCCCGGTTCCCTGGGTGTTCAGGGGCTATGTATGCTGCAGACCAAGCTCTCTCCCTGGTCTCTAGCCAGCAAATGCACTTGGAAGACGCCCGCGCATGTGCAATTTGTGCCTTAAAGGCCCAATACCGATTGCTTGCATTATGGGAATACAGATTGCAGCAGCCATCTTGGATTAGGGCAATTGCCAGTAAGTACCTAAAATGGAGGGACAATTACTGTAAACATCCCAAACTTATTTGGAAAGTATTTGCAGGTTCTCCAGACATGGGTAAGTTCTGTTTCAGCCAGTTTAAATCTGTTTGACTGTTTTCTTGGTTATAGAATTTGACAGTGCCCTTTTGTACTTTTATACTTCGCCACATGTAATATTTTTTGTTTTTGTTTATTTTATGTCAGAATCTACACCATGTTCTGATTGTGATGGAAATGCAGTGGTAGGATAACTGTTATGCATTGCCTGTCTTCAGAAGGTAACCTCTTCAGCTTCACCTATAGCTGCGCAGCCACAGGAAATGTTGGCATAGCTTACAAAGGAAGTTGCAAGGTATTGACTAAATCTACACCATGTTTTGGTTCTGATGAGAAAGCAGTGTAAGAAAATAGTTATGCTCTGACTCTACCATAAGGTAGCTGCTTCAGCATCACCTATACTGGTGCAGCCACATGACAGGTGGGACGATGCTACCGCTTGACAACTCGGCTTTTTTTACTCCGCATGTAAAACAAAATGCATCCAAAATGAGGTGAAGGTAGATGAAAATAAGGTATAAAAATAATTTATTACTTACACAGAAGTAATGAATCTGCATAGAATACAAATAAAATCTGTCCAACGCGTTTCTTCCCACTCAGGGACTTCTTTTCAGTAGCTAGACAGGTACACAAATGCATAAAAGTATCCCCCCTTCCTCCCTCCCTCTTAAATACACCCCACAATCAGTTGATAGATGTCATCCAGATGGTCTTCCTGCTTGATTTCAGCTGTTCACGATCAAGTTGTAATTACTTCCTGGTCCCGGGTAAATTACGTCATCACGTTCTGTTCACGGCATCATTCGTGTGTTCCAAAAATTCTTTCTGTTCGCATGGTGGTTCTTGCGTTCCACCATGCGTTCCACCAATGCGGAACAGTCCATTATTACATCAATAAATTATGTGGAGCCGAGATGATATGGAGGGGGATGGGAAAATATTATTTTAGAAAATAATAAATAACAAATATATCCATGCTGCACATATATGTGTTTGTATGTGTATAAAAAAATTCATACAAATATAACAAAATTAAATCTATAGCAAGGGTCTCTGTGCATAACCATATGGACCTTTGTAATGTATCCTATTTAAAGGAATACAACTCACAATTATCTGGGTAAGTTATTCTCTCTATGACAATATTAATTAAATAGCTTCTTTATCTTCATTCATTCATTATTAATTGCCTCTCTATTTTTAATTTTGTTCTATGTGTGTTCCATACTGGTGAATAATCAAAGGGAAAAAAACGTTATAAGAGGTTTCTTCAGATATACACAACTACTCAATTAATTGGGGAGAGCTTATTAATTCCTTTATATGTGTGTTTCTAAAAAATACCCTTAGATCGTAGGGATAATCCTCCCTTTATAATTTTCCATCCGATGTAGTATTTACATATGGCCATGGAGAGAGACCCCTTACATTAATGTACATTATTAACATAAAAAATGAACATAAAAAAGAAAATCCAAACACCATAAAATAGAAATTGAGATGGAATGGAAAGTATAGAAAATAGATAGGTATTCAATCTAAAAAACACCATAGATCTATATCTAGGTTTAACCCCCTAGGTTGCAAAGTTTTTAACGTATTGATCCAATATGTTTCACGTTGAGCTAACTTTTTTATAAAATTTCCACCTCTCTAATAGTTCTCTATTTTTTTCAGACCTAAAAAATAAAAATCTTTCCAACTAAACCTAGTACATGTATTGCAATGAACGGGGACTATATGTTTAATTTCCTACAGGTCCGACCCACATACTGCTTCCCACAGGGACATTGTAGGACGTATACTACTATATGCTATAAATTTATACGCCTGCTGATGCAGGTTGTTGTTCAGCTGTAGTTTTCACTGCTGTTTCTAGAACCATAAAAAGAGTGTTTAAAAATCTAAATGCTACTGTGGATAGAGATATTAAGAGCCAAGATTGAAGATGCAGTCTGGAGTCTTCAGGTTACAATTGACTTCTTCACAGAAGCTTCCTTAGATGTAACTAGGATATTCTTTCGAACAAATGGCTTTACCTACAGCAGCTGGGTAAGGTTTTGATCAATTCATTAAAAGGTAGCTGAGGGCTGCAAGGTATTTGTACCTCAGGACTGAAGATCCAAGAATCTGGCTCCTCTGTGTCAGACAGGAGAACCTCCAGTGATCAGCATTTCTGAGATACATGGAGTTACTGACCTGCAGGGTATACTCCAGAGGTAACTCATGGCAGTTGGTAACCTGCCTTTCAAGGTTCTAATAGAGGTATGAAGAAGGTATAGTACTGAAGCTTCAGACACGAGAGGCTCTATATCAACAAGAGAATTCAGGCAGATGACTCAAAGGTATAGCACCGTAGGAATATGTATAAAACCTTCTGGATGAAGATGTGATTTCTTAGGTCCCTTAACAAGAACGGTTCCTGGGACAATGTTTGCCTCTGATGCTAAAAGTAAAGTCACATGGACGTCTATACTGGACCTAAGAAGGGCCAACAATAGGCTGGATGACAAAGCATTTGGGATGGAGTCAATCAGATCCATATACCCAGCAATTTGGAAGGACAAGTTCCTTATCTCTATATATCTCTAGGATGCTTATTATCATTCCAATCGGCCTAGATCTGAATCATTATTTTAGAAGAGAACTTCCAATTCGTGCCCTACCATTTGGCCACACTGCAGCCCCAAGTACCTTATATGTGCTTATAGTGATATTGAGAGTCCAGAACACTACCTGGTTCAATTTTCTGGATGATCTACTACTGGTAGCCTCAGACTCACAGAAGGCAGGCACACAGAGGGATAGAGTTCTTTCAGAATGTCTGAAGTTTGGCTGCTTGATGAATACCAAAAAGAGCAGTCTCACGCCAGCTCAGAGGATGACTTTTCTGGGTGGAGTATTCTATACTCTGCTTTCCCCTATCCCAGTAACAGTTCCACAGATGGTGGAAGTTTTCTTTTCCAGTTTCTTCATTTTCACTTGGTAACAGCAAGAAAGAAGATGCAACTACTAGGAATCCTGGCTTCCACCATCAGACTTGTCAGATGGGCTCAATGGTATCTAAAGATTCCTCAAAGGTCCTTCTTATCTCAGTTCAACAAGAGAAAGATGAATTGGAGCCAGCCCCTGACGATGTCACCATCAGTGGAGTTACACCTTATCTGGTAGCTGAAAAGGAGAACATGTCTCTGGGTTTCCTATGAGCAGAACTTCATTGGGCAATGGTAAGCTCATATTCCAGATTTCAATGATTGTATACACATTGTCTGGACCATGTTACGCCAGGTCTGTGGATAAAGGAAGGAACAATATTTCCATCCAATGTTATAGAATGTGTCATTTTCAAGGCTCTTCTTCACTTCAGAAGGTTGCTGAAGAACAAGTGGGCCCGAATATTTGCTCAAATATCAATGCAAATTTCACAGCCACCTATTGCTGAAGCAATTACAGCCCATGATGAGCAGGGCACAG